CCCCCCCTCCCTCCCTCCTTCGTACATCACCCATCCCCGTTCTGCCTACCTTAACAAAGGTAAGTCCCAGAACCAATATGCTGACTCGTCTTGTACTCGTTTAGGTTTATTGCTCGCGTACCATAATGTAAAACGTTCCTGTAACAGAGTGCAGAGTATATACCGTATGTAGAGAATACAGAAGAGACTGGTATAAGGAATACAAAATACAGACCGTATAGTATACAGAATACAGAATTACGGCGGCCTGCCAACTGGCAGAATCAGAACGTGTTTCTGCGGTGGCAACCCGATATGGAGTTACACGTACGTAAGCCGTAGTTAGCATCTCGGCATTCTAATGGACGCGGAAGTCGTAATTCCCTGCTAACAAGCTTCCGTCCGAGGACGACACACCCGGCATGGCTGGGCGACGTCTCTGCCTTTGAGACCGAACTCCTGAAACGAAATAATTCTATATGGATTTACCATTGCGATTGACGAATCGAAAGATTGTGTGTGGGACTGAAGGATAGGTATGGGTATGATATCTATATAGATATATAGATATAGAGTGTAGCTACATATATCGGATAGATAGAAATATCTATAGGGTGCATAGCGTGGTAGGATGCCTACGTTGAATAGAGTCCAGGCCATGGGGAGGGGGTTGGAAAGTTGAGGGTGAGAAATGGGGAGAATCTCGTTTATCATCTTCCGACCGATAAATCAGTACGGAATACTTTGCGGTTCCCCATCGTGTTAGAACAGTTTATAAACGGGGAATCCCCGGGGTGCGGTTATCTTCGCATGTACCGGGTGTACTTTATTTTTGAGGGAAGAGCCCGGCTTGCATGGGGATTTTAGTTGTGAGGTTGTATCGAGGGGTGTGGATGTTGGTAAGACTGTTTTTAGGTGGGCGTGGCTCCGCGGTGTTTATCATACGAATTAGGGGACTTGCCACGGACGATGGCTAATTCTTGGATACAGGGTATTGATATATTATTAAGGGTTGTTTATCTTGATATAACGTATATTTGGAGTTTTTTTCGGGAAAATTTTTATACAAGGCAATTTTATTATTTTGGGGAATATTTTTGGTCTGGGTTATTTTCATAGGTTAGTTGGATTAATTGGCAGGAAAATTTAGTGGTTTCAGACTGTATTTCGTTTTGAGTAAAAATATTACGTGTTCTTGGCTCTTGGTGAGAATCAAGGTTGAAAGGATGCTGGGATGGTGGGGTGAGGGGTGGGGGGGATTTAAGGGGAAAAATGAGGAAAAAATTTCTTAAACCCTGGCTGGCTGGCTGGTCCGAAGGGTGGCGAGGTACTGAGTAGACACGCGAGGTTGCATGACTGCGAGAGAATGAAGGCGGGGCTTAATCTTTAGCCACTCCCATTTCCCCCGCCGGTCACAGTGAGTGGGGAGAATCCGAAGGATGCCATTGGTCCAAGACCGGTTCGCGGGGTTGGCCATGCATTAATTATTCTAAATAAGTCGTCGCCCCGCGGCGGCTGATTATAGAGTTTACAATGCCATAAATAGAAGCCGTTTACAAATCGCACGTAAAAGTAATCACTACTTGGCTTTGCGAAGTCGAGTATCTTTTTTATTAAATTTTTTCGTTTATTTCCACTACATTTATTTTTACTTCTTTTTTTTTTCTCTCTCTATACTTCTGCTATCTCATCTCACGCATTCTCACGTATGAGGCGTATCACGTGCGGTTCTTGGTAATCAAATAAAATGGTACTTATTCCAAGTAATTTCTATGAGTAAATTTGATACGGTCTTTCGAATTAATTAAATTTCTTTATTTATTCCAAAAACTCCTAAGCGACGCTCGAGCGTCCCGACGCCACTCGCGAGGCAGTAAATTCGCACGGTTGCGATTGCAAATTGATTTCCCAGCATCTTTAGCCTCCGAATAATTCGAAGCTGATCGCGTGTCTCGATCCTCGCGTGAGATTTCACTTTTTAGGTATTTACACGTAAACGATAATAACAGAGCGAATGACCAGCAGTCTCGTTACGTCGTGAAAACAGCAATTGGCTTCTTATTTTCTGTAAGAAGATTCTCGATAAGAATGAGCGGAAGAGACTTTCCTCAAAATTGCATGTCCACCATATTTTTTTTTTTTTTTTTTTTTTTTTTTTTTTT